AGCGTACAGCAGCATGAAATAAGCAGCAATAGAAAGCTGGATACACCAGTATTGCTTTTTTTTTTTTTTTTTTTTTTTTCCCTGCAATATACAGAAAGAACAGAACAATCTGGGAAACTTCCCAGCAGTTTTATAGGAGCCTGTGCTACAGAACAGAGAAAGGCTAGGACAAAAACAGACTTTTTGAAGTCTCGACTTGAAGGATTGCTGTAAAAAGCAGAAGTGAGCAGGGATCTGACCCTGTGCACCATGCTTTATTTATTCCCTGGCCCATACGTAGCAGCCTTCTTTTCCAGCACTTAAGCTAACCAAGTGGCTGTCTCTCTACTCTGGATGGGGGGAATGAAGGAATGAATTTATAAAGAGACTTTTCATGGTGAGAAGYACCATGGTGACTCATTTTCTGCTCCTACTTTTTCTTCCACTGCCCTCTGGCTCTACCTAAAGATATAGAAGACACAGACTAGCAGAGCCTGTCCCSTAAACAGATTTCTAGTATGAGATGTGTAACTGTCACCAGGCTCCCTTCTGATTTAAGTCTACCACATTACTCTCACAATTATCTTGAAAACATTTCATCCTGCAAATAGGCACTTCTCCTAATTACTAGGATCTTTCCTCCTAATCCCTAGAAATCCTCAAAGCGAAAACATATTTTCATACAAACAGCCTTTGAAATCTGCCAGCTCTTTTTATCCCCAGACTTTTCCCTTTCCTTGAAATTTTACCACCTAACTCCGCTTGAAAATAAATCAGCAAAAGTTAACACTGAATTGGCTACAGCTTTCTAAAATGTTAGGCAACCATCACCATACAAGCAGAGAGCCTAACAAGCCCAAGCATCCCTTGTGCATGACAAGGTCAAAGATCTTTTCCTTTGTCAAGCAGCTTTGAGCTTTGCTGCCAAGCCCTGGGAGAGAGAGCAGCTCCCTGGCCCCCGAGGGAGCTGCGAAGTTCAAAGAGGCAAAGTGCTCTGTTGACATTTTGGAAAGAGAAAGAGATGGGGAAAAGGGACCAGGGGGCATGTGCTTAATTTACATATACATTTCTATGTCTTCAGAAAGCATTTCTGCCCAGAAGGCTAGCTGCCACACAACGGAGCAAAGCCTGCAGTTGTGATAAGGTGTAAAAGTTTGGAGCAACCGCCTGTGCCTGAGTGTGTTTGGGCTGAATAGTCACACTGGGCTTTTTGGACTTAAGGCACASAAATTGGAAGAAAAGGCATGAGAGTCTGTGTAAGAGATTGCTGCAGGATGAGAGAAGGAGAGAATATTTAATGCTCTTMTATGAGTTGAAAAAGCCAGTGGGTGAACATATATGCACACTTCTATCTACTCCCTGCTAAAGAGCAGGAGTAAGAAAAGCTGCTAGTAAAGCTGCAGAAATTATCTAGAGAATGAAGGAGCCCCGGAGCTGATGCAGGAAGAGGCTGGAGCAGGGATACAACAGCTGGTTGAAACAGCCAGTCAAACTGGGGCAGTCAGTGGTGCAGCAGGATTGCAGCAGGGAAGGGGCTGGCAGAATTAGAGCAGCTTGGGCCTGCTCTGTCCGCCAGAAGAGGGGCAGGCTCTTGGGATGTGAAAACCCCAACCTGAGAGTGAGGTGCTGTGCAGGACCTGGGAAGCAGGCAGGTTTCTATTAAGAAGCCAGACAGTTGTAAATGGCTATTACGCTGCTTCGGGGAAAGAATAGTTTGGTATCATTTCCCCATTGTCTTTTCTTTTTTTCTTTATTTAATACAATAATGCTTTTTTTTCGTACATTTGTGGGTGGAAAAACTGAAGTTCAGTGTTATTTTCCAAGCTGCTAGACTTGGGGCTGGAAGTGAGCTAGCCACCTCTCTGAGATAACCTCATGTTCCATGAGTCATGTAAGATAAYCGGAATAGACGTAATGCTCTGATTCAAATGAGACAATCTTTGCACCAAAACACAGTTTTTTACTCAAATCTCTGAATGGCCTTGGTGACAGCTTCCTCTGGCAACACCACCTGWAAAAATATAAAGATCATTTACCAAATAATCTCGTAATAGTGCTSTCTGCATGTTAAACATCACAATGAGATTAGAAACACTTAGAGGAAATGAAGGAACCCTGCAAAATCCGCAAGAATAAGAAAACCAAGAAAATTAAACCAGAATATTAGGTTTAAAAAAAGCTAATTTATGAAACTCAGAGCATTACAAGTCAGAATAAAGAAATGCAAGTTGAAATGGAGGAGAAAGAAACTCCACAACAATAAATAATAGTAAAGCTAAACAGCCAGGAAAAAATGAAAGGCATTTTCAGGAGAGTCTAAGTAGACCAAAACCTTGCACYGGCAAACATGGCATTGCTCTCACCCCAAATTGCTCTCAGTCACCCCAAATCAAAATAACTCTATGATTAACTATAACAATGTCYGATTCCACTAATTTTGTTCTAGAATTATTCTTTTACAAGCTCTCTGCTCACAGAGCTTGAAAAGGAATTCAGTTTTAAAAGAAATGCTGTGCTATTGTTATCACACAGAATGAAATCTGCTTAATCCAATCCTGTCTGATCAGACAGAATAATAAGATGCACAATAAGACAGCAATCAATCCTCTACACTTATTTCTATGAGAGCTTGTGCTTCACACAAGTTTCTGCGTAAAAGCKCTCAGTTTGCCTTCTGTTCACCCACCCTGCCTAGGCCACTGTGAGAATGATCAAAGCACCTTGCCTTACTATTCTGATAGCAGATAAAAACCCTCAGCCACCCAAATGCCTCCTCATGCTGATGTTTCCCTGAGCTGCTGTCACCAGAGACTCCTGCAGTCAGCTCACCTATATGTGATGGATGCTCTTTCATCCTTTAAGATGAGTCATGAAGACACTTCCCGCCAAGTGGGGTCCATCTCCATGGCACCGGAGAAAAGTGAGGAGCCAGGGTGAAACCCTTACATAGCAATTAAATAAAACAGAAGTCACCTAAAATGTGAGGCTTTCATAAAACATTGGGCCATGCAGCCAAGGTCCTGGGACTTCAGAAACTATTCAGGGTACGTCAAAAACTGCAAGAGGGATGTGGCAATGGGTWTGGCATTTTATGGCTATGCCTGCTCCGGGACGCTGACTCATGCCTGAGACCGTGCCGGCTTCGTAACTCATTGATCCTGCACGCAATGAGCCTACAGCCTCAGTGCCCTCAGTGCCTTGCTGGGGCTGTGACAAAAGAGCCAGCACGTAGCTAGATAAACTAGAGCTTGATGCTTTCTGCTGAATTTATAAGGCAGAAAAGAATCCCACAGATAAAATTTGCACAGAACTGCAGTTCAGTAATTCTTGATCATCAACTCTTCCTCCTGCTGCAAATCCACAATAGGATATACGTCAGTCTTCGCTGCTAAGGGCAAAGCCTGACACTTGTTTTCTGGTAAGTACATYGGTGCAGTAAGAGGATTTCACAAGGTGCTGCCAGCAAGGCAGTGGCACACACCTGGGCACTTGTTCCCAGAAAGGAGGGTAGTGGGAGTATGAGTTGTTAAGCAGCTAGAACTAACCRTCTGAGAGAGCTGAGTGATAGTACATGATCAGAAAAATAGTTATATGAGTGCATTAAAAAAGTGTAGTAAGTTTTCAAGCAGTCGAAACATGCCCTTAATCCATCTATTAAACTGAGAAAGCTCTTCTACATAGATTTAGACGAGGCTCTGTTAGAATATCTCAAATAGATCCTACTGTGACCCCAGGACTCATTTTTTTCAAGCATTAAACAATCGGGTCAGTTGCTCTGAGGTTTCCCTTTTGAAACCTGTGCCAGATTTTAGAGGAAAGGACTTGTGAACCTCTGTGGACTGAGATGTAATTGTGCCACACCGCAATAACACGAGAACAACCTGACACTCTCTGACTCATTATTCTCAAACACGGTCCTGTTGGGCTATTACATGACCTCACATAAACTGGTGAGCAGGATGGAAATGCACATCAAGCAGAATCTTCAGGCATCTCCATGGAACTAAAGGTGAAGAGATCTCTACTGGATTACCACCACCTCTCCCCATCCATCAGCACTGTACAGAGCTCGTGCTCCTCTCTTGCTAAGCTCCCTTATGTCATCTATCAGCGAGAGAGCAGCAGCGTGATCCTAAGCGATGCTGAGGAAGACTGATGTGCTTGCCAAGCTGCATGTGCAATCCTAGCATCACTTTATGTTTTTCCTTCTGTAGCTCAGTTCTGCCTTTGTATTTACTGAAACCTCAGCAAACCTTAGCTGTTTGACCATGCTGTTCCAGCAATGGGAAGAAAGGACTTGGCAAGATCAATGTCCCATTTCCTTTTCCCATGCTAAGAGGTCTTTTTCCTTTCGATTGGGAGTGGCCATTGTGCTGGGGTCGATAATGAGTAAGCACAAAGTATTAACTGGGGTTATCCCACCGACTCCTGAGAAACTATTGTAGAGTTTATTGGCAATCACAAAATGCCAATTTTCACTGTGGATACATGAAAATTTCTAAAGGGTAGGAAGTTATGAAATACCTAGTGGCAGCTTTCTGCTGGGAATCAAAATTACAGTTTTCCAGAGTAACCACATCAATCTTGGACTTTAAATCATTTTAGTGCTTTCACACAGTGTCCAGCAGACTACGGAATGACGTGTAGCAGTGACTGTTAATCAACTTTAGCTGTTATAGGAGAAGAAGTGCTGCTCTGCAGTGTGTGGAACTGCTCCTCATCCCATGCAGCACTCCTGAACAGCCCAAGCCAGTGCAAATTATATGAGCAGATCACTTTAAAAAAACACTTTCAAGAGACCTTACATTTTTTTAAGAGTTTCAGGGCTGTATGTAGGCAGATATTTTGATTTAAATAGCTACAATTAGAGTAGATCAAACTACAATTTAGAACTTCCAGACTAAGAAACACTTGTATTTATATTGAAAAATAGTGTGAGATTTGCAGAAGAAATGCATAGACTGATAGTGCTTTATGTTATAACCTCTTTCTTGATGCGTCAATCAAAACAGAATCAGCCCTGGATGATTGTATATTGGAACAACCATCAAAGGGTGAGTGCAAGGCTTGATCACATTTATACTTCCATTTAAAATTAGCGCACCATTTTAACCCCTGTAACTGAGCAACATAACTGCATCTTTTGACATGACTTTTGTTCTATCAATTAACTTTTCCAGTAATGTAACATGACAAACATCTCCAGCTTTGCCACTGTAAGGAGCATGCCAGCTTTATTGTGCAGAATGTTGTGCATGCACAACCAACACTGTGACAGCGTGAAGGGCACCCCGTTATGAAGCTTTCATAACAATGCAATTATTACCTCAAGACATTCAGACACCTCTTCCAATAACCACTTTTTATCTTTGATACCATAATCAGTTGTGCTAGATGACTCAAAATTTGCCACCTTTAGAAGTTTCTTTGTCATAATTCTTTTCAAGTTTGTTTTACAGAATTGCGACACTGGGTGATATCATGACATTTTTTGTTGGTTCCAGTGCCATGAAAGATTCAAGTGGGATTACTCATCAGCACTGCCTTTCCTTCCCTYTTCAGCGTTCTCACATGTGTCTGTCCACTTCTCAGCTCCCCAGAAAGCCCCTTTCAGCTGTTTCCTCCTCTGTAGCTGTCCAGGCACTGTGTGATACTCCTTGGATAGTGTCTCTGTTTCCTGTGTTTCAGTCCATCTTAAAGGCCCAGGTCTGTCCAAGTTCCTCCCCATGAACTGAGCTGGCCTCTGAACAGATGCCTATTGCTGCCTCTCACAGCTAGTTGTGCACCTTCTCTGACAAACCAACCACTAAAAAGAACAAGGATCAAGAATGCCCATATATTAGTGGAGCTACCGTAAACCAGTTACCTCAGGTAGWCCATTACTGAAAAAGCTCATACTGAAAAAAGGAATGATGGTACATAATACTTAACACAATGTTAAGAAATAAAGATTACAAAAGGTTAACAATTATTTTCTTTTTCATTTGGTTGCAATGATTCACTTTGTGGTTGGTGTTATGTCTCCTTGTCTTCCCAGTGCTCAAGCCTCTCATTCATGACACAGTCACTCAGAGGACAACTCACTGCAGCTAACAGTGGCCACCCAGAAGTCAGGGCTGTAGTTTAAGCTCTTCATCTAAAAGAGACACGTAGCTTCAGCAGGCAGTCCTTCCCAATCTAAAARAGATGTTTGAGATAATCAGGGTGAATTACCATCTGAAGGAACCAATCTATCTTTACCAATTACTGAGGGACAACTGCCTTAGGGTGGATGCCTCGCTTCTGCAACCCAGCATGAGGAAAAGGCAAGTACGAGCAGTACAAGGGAATTCACAACCCCCCAGTCCATCTCCAACAGCTAAACTGCTATTCCCTATAAAGCAATAGCTCTTCTTTCTGACACYCCCAGATCAAACATACAAGCTTTCTGCGCTTCCCATTACACATATTATTATCAAGTGACTAAGTGACCTCATTTCCAGTCTTAACGATTTAATTTTCACAACCTCATTAGATCTCTATTTTCTTTTGGGAATACTTGCTGTGAGCGAACTCTGCTGGGCAGTAAAATGTTGATGTCAGGAAACATCTGAGTTGCTAAAGATCACTGAAAGGAGCTATGCAGAATTTATAAGTGCTATTAATCAAGTAACAGTGAAGCTGGTGGAGAGATGCAATATAGTCTCAGGTTCTCCTCCATTAATCACTATTCACAACATACCATGAGCTGCTTAGCAAGTAGAGGAAGAGTGTTTTTGAAACTACTCTGTTACTGACATCACTGCATTTAAAAATAAAAACAAAAATGCAGCTCAATGGAAATTAGAATCTCACAAGGGATTTGTAAATAATTCATCTATTTCACTTTTTACTTTCACCCCAGGRACTTACTCCTTCCTTGTGTCATCTCGTCCTCAAAAAGATGAGCTAATTGGCTAGAAAAGCACACAGTAGTTTCATCTATGCATCAGTTTAAGTACTATTCTTTTCTGCAGTCTTCCTCAAAGAMAGGTAGTCTTCATGATTTCAAATTAAGAAATGAAGCATTTGGAGTAATACTTTGCACTATAATCTTCTCCTGGATGCACTTGTGTTTTCATTTGAGATCAAGTACTGTAAGATTTATGTGTCCACTAACTAGATTCCCTTCCCAATATAAATGTCCACTAATTAAGTTGTCTTCCACTTTTCAGTTTATCTGCAATAGATGATGTTTAAGTGCACCAGTGCTGACATTTATCTTATTAAAGCCTTGAGAACCAAATCAGTGCTACTGCAATATTATCTTTCTTTACATTTTTCACTTCTGGCTGAACAGACAATATGATTGATGATAGGAAGCCTAGTTATGCAGAATTTAGTTATTAGTAAAAGTAATATTTCAGTGAGTCATGAATAAAGAATTAAATGAAAAATAGATTTTTTAGTTAAAAAAAAAAGGCTACAGATGAATTTTCTTTAAAAAGCACACAAATTCCTCTTTTTAGTTATGATTATTCTTTGTGTTAAAACACAGTTTCAGAAAACAAGAAGTAGACTTGCATGCACTAAACCTAACTAGCTTGAAATCTGAAGTAGCAGCATGGTTGCTAGAGCAAAAAAGATGCTGAATGATGGTAAAAATTCAATCTAGGCTCAGAATCCAGGAATCCAGAAAAAATCAAGGAGAGAGGGAAAAAAACCCAAACATAGTATGTACACAAATTGGAAAAAAAAAAAAAACAAAAAAACAAGAGAGAAAGGCAGAGAGGGAGAATAAGTGTTCTCCCTTCCACCCTGCCCACCCCATGCCCCCCCAGAAAAAAAAAATTTGCCATTCTGCTGCAACATTTTAAGTGTCTTTTCTTTAAAGGATAATTTTAGTATTCATAGAATCACAGAATAGTAGGAGCTGGAGGAGAGGCACAGAGAAAATTTGGTCCAGTTCTGCTCAATCAAGGCAGCTGGAGTGGTCAGGTTTTGAATACCTCCAAGGACAGAGATGCCACAAACTCTCTGCGCAGCCTGATCCACGTTCAATCATCCGCACAGTGAAGAAGACTTGTCAGACAGACTTTCCTGTGTTTCATTTTGTGCCTGATGCCTGTTGTCCTTGCATTRGGAACCAGCAAGAAGAGTCTGRCCCCATCCTCTTTACATGCTACCCTCAGATATTTATACACAAGATCCCTCTGAGCTTTTTCTTCCCAGGTGAAACAGTTTGGGCTCTCTCAGCTCTTCCTCATGTGAGATACTCTTTACTGGACTTGCTGCAGCAGGTCAATGTCTTTCATGTACTGGATCCTCCTTCTCRCCCTTCCTAAAGATAGGGGTGATATTTACTTTCTTTCCAGCCTCTGTCACCTCTCCTGATCATCATGACCTTTCAAAGATAATCAAGATTGGCCTCATAACTGCACTGGCAAGCTCCCTCAGCATTTGTGGGTACAGCCTGTCAGATCCCTTATCGGTTCCTACTATGCCACAGAAGGGAGCAATTTTCATGAAGTATGTATGAAAATATGACTACATTGCCATGTATGACCCGCAAGTTAATGCAAAAACTCATTGCACAGTGCTGCCTTTGAGGAAGCACTGTCTAATATTCTCTTTCAATGCAACTAATGCCATCTTCTGGTCTGCTRCTTCCAGTACAGGGCCCCGTACTGTATCCACTACTGTAGTATATGCTCAGAAAAATCACACACAAGTCAACAACAATCCTGCAGTTCCATTAAGGTAGTTATTCAAAGAGTATATTAATTTCACTCTAAGTAATAAAGGTATTTAACAACATGTCTGAAGTGTAAGATGGAGTGGGAGAATCTACTCAGGTGTGACAAACTAAAAAAATAAGTATCCAGTTTCCTTTTTTCAGTTTGTTCTTATGTTAAGGACAAAACATTGCTAAAGAAAGAATCTGAGTGACCACAGGAAGGGAGAAGCACTGAAAACTGCTCTGCTGCTTGGCTGATGATATGATACCACATGTCTATCACTTCAGAACAGTATGAGAAAGTGTGAAGTTTTGGAACCAACTCATTGCTGTTTTGTCAGCTGTCACCCTTTCCTCGCTCCACTCCTCCACCATTCATATTTCTCTTCAGGTTCCAATTCTGCTGAGGTACTGACACAGTTTATAAGCAGCTSAGGATATACTGTATCCATATTTAAAGACTTCAGAGATGATTCATAACCACAAGACTTTGCTATTAACCACATCGTGCTACTTCCTGATCTTAAYGTTTCCTATTTTTTAAATAACAAAGCAGAGTACAAATATTATTCAGGATGAGCTGGGTCAGCGTAGAGTGAAATACTTCCTTTTCTCTTGTGCTTTTAAATATATACTTTTATTTACTTTTATTTAAAAATTCTCAGTGCTCAGACTAAATAAAAAGTAGAAACGTCCATCATCTTCCGCCTATGTAAGAAGAACTTGCAGTTCTTCATATATGTTTTCCACAGTGGAAAAGTCTTTCATTATGATAATGTCAGTGGGAGGCCACTGCTGTACACATACACAGAGTATGAAAGACAAACATCCTTGGCTGAATCTTCAGAGATCTCTAACTCAGGAGTTTGTTTTTTTTCCTCCAAATTTCTGGTGAAAAAGTTATCTTGCTACTTTTGAGCTAGTGCAGTGCCCTAATAAAATGCACGGTGAGAAGCAGGGTATAGCACAGTAATAGATATTACAGCTGAGAACTAATTCAAAGAGTTACAAAAGCACCGTGTAACAGCCTTCAGAYTGCCCTCAGATAGTGAGTAAAATCTTGGATTGGCTCAAAACTGTTTTGAGAAACTCAAGCTGGTCTGGATATATATCAGAGACAAATTGCTTCTATTCAAAGAACAAGACTATCATATAAAAAATAACAACAAATCTTTAGGTGCCAACAACATTCTTGCTGTGGGTGACAACCTTTTCATTAGCACATCATCAGTTGTGTAACACTTTGGGGACTTCTGTATGACACTTCAGCAGTGAGAAAAAAAGGAGTTTCCAAGGCATGCCTGAATTTGCAATAAGGGTTGTGTGATGAAAAGATGAAGAAGATTTTAATGATAAATCTGAACTTTATCATTACTTTGTGATGAGCTTGCTATTATACTAACAAGAGTCCTCCTCTTAAAACCATCCTCAAAAACACCTTTACATGTTTATGACAAACGTATCATTCCCACATTAAGCAGCTGATCTCTTTCACAGGACTGCAAGTATTTCTAACAATTCTGGCAACTCTTGTTTTGGATAACCAAAATGTATCTACCTGTCTTGTAAATTATTACAGGCTCCTTTAGTTGTTTTAAGTTACTTAATCTGTTTAAAATGACATTGATGAAAATCTCAATTATCCAAAAATGACTGATGGATTAAATTCAGAGGAAACTTGCATGTGACACTAAACATAGTGCATCTGATAGCATTTTGAATTATACTATTATTTCATTTATATACTAGACTATTCCTGACAATATGCAAATATTGGTCTGAACTTGCATGCGTGTTTTCCAGGGTGATTGTTTTTCTAAGTATATGCATATTGACCCAACATTATGAAAATTCAAACMATTTCTGTTCAAGATTTGTTGGCAKCAATTTATCTTTCTTGCATGCAAGAGGTAACGTTGTAGTTAGAATCACAGAACGTTTGGGACTGGAAGAGACCTTTAAAGGTTGTCTCATCCAACACCCGTGCTCAAGCCRGACCAGCTAGATCACATTGTCCAGGACTGTATCCAGATGGCTATTAAATATATCCAAGGTCTACAAGGAGACTCCACAACTTCTCTGGATAACTTGATCAAGTGTTCAGTCACACTTACAGTAAAAAGAGTTTTGATATTCAGGCAGAACTTTCTGTGCCCAGTGCCTCTTGTCCTAACACTGGGCACCAGTGGAAAGAGTCTGGCTCCATCCTTTGTACACCCTACCTTCAGATATTTATACACATTGCAAGGTCACCCTCGCACCTTCTCTTCTCCAAGTTGAGCAATCTCAGCTCTCCCACCCTCTCTTCATATGAGAGATGCTCCTTAAACATCTTTCTGGCCCTTCATTGCAATAGTTCTAYATCTCTYTTGTCCTGAGGAGCCCAGACCTGGACCCAGAACTCCACACATGGACTTGCCAGGGAGCAGTAAGATCTCCTCCCTCAACCTGCTGGCAAAGCTCTTCCTAATGCAGCCCAGGTTACTGCTGGCTCTCTGTGTCACAGGGTAGTTACTACAGGAGAAAACCCATTTTTGTGCCATGAATCAATGTAAAAATGGAATTGGACAAAGATTTGTCATTTCTTTACAATAAAAACCCTTCTGTGTCACTACCTTCCATTTGTTCTGAATTTGTGGATTCAACCAGCATTTAACACAGCTATTACAGGAACACTAAGCACTGGTTATCTAAGAAAGCCTGGTCCTGAACTTTACTCATGCTAAAGGACTATATGGATGTTTATCATTCATGCCAGAGTGAGACACATATTAATAAGATACTTGTTGGGTAGTAGCTTGTATTTTCATAATTTTGGGTCATAGTTAAATTGATTTTCTAGAAATACTTTGAGAACATTATTTCAAATAAATCAATGAGTGCTTGTCAGGCTCTTATGTTGGATTCTCTTCCTTTTCCTCTTCAATTATTTGTAATTGTCTTTTATATTTATACATATACATATACATATAAATGCATAATATTGCTTGTGATCTACAGTTGTAGATATTTTTAGAGAAGAACACATTATCCACAATAAAATTATGAAAATAAAAGCAAACAGCAATTTTATCCTTGGAATGTCTCAGCATACTGTTTAACAATTGCAGGAATTGGCTGTATGTCAATTTTTCCACAATTTCCTGCCCAGTGTGTCAACTTTCACCTTAATTTCTGCATTTGCAAACTCCATAAAATGTTTCCATTTCGAAAAAAAAAAATCCACAATGGGATTTTTGTTTAAAAAAGAAAGTTAATGAAACAAAAGTATACTTTTATGCAATTCTGAAAAACAAAGAGCTAAGCCAAGATATATAGGAAATTACAAATGAAAACCATAATGGAACCCTGAGTGTTTCGACTTTATAAACCATGTACTTTTAAAAAACTCATCATAACAAACAAACCATGTATAACAAATTGTTTCAATCAATTTAAGATGATGGAAAGCAGACTCAAAGAGAAAAAAAAACAGAAAGAGTAGTCTGTCCTCTGCACACCCCTTCACTCATTTGTGGCTGAAAAGATGTATAAATTATATTCTTTGGACTTTTTTTGAACAGCTTGTTGAATCATCAGTCCTGCAAAAAAATGCCCAAAGCTCTTAAATTCAGCACAGAAATTTAGACAATTCGCAAGTGCTAATTTGCAACAATTTACTAATTAATAATCAAGAGTTACAAAACCAATTAACAAATGTTTAAAAAAGAATTTCAYTTTTCATGACATGTTGAAGAAGCCAAAAGTCTGATATGTTACTTCAAATTGGTACAGAAATGGTGTTTTCTGGTGTGTGGGCTGACTGGGTAAGTTGCTGTGCTGCAGATGCTAAGGTCTCTGTTGAACGATGGTGTTATTAAGATACATTTCCTGCATACTGGTGAATCAGGCAGCGAGCGGCTGTGCTGGAGGTACCTCCTGTTCCCATCATGGAAAAAAGTGAAAAACTGCTGTTCCTCCAAGTGCTACGTCTATTTTGTGCATTGTGTCATGTCCGTCTTTCAGAAACTAAGCTTTTTTTTTCCTGAGAAGGATTCAAGGAATAACAGAGAACTTTTTGATACCATGTCAAAACCAACCAACTGAAAGCAAATAGAAGACTAAATTGATGGTTACAAATAAACAAGAGAAATAAAAATAAATAAATAAATAAATAAATAAATAAGAGGAAAAAAATCTAGAAAAGCAACATTGCTCCAGGAATCATTTTTCTTTCAGTCACTGAAATAACATGCACATTTAAATTTGTCTGCCTAATAAATTTCCCAGCCTTTTTGAACGTGTGTTATGACTTTTACCGTGAGTTCTGTGACTACTCCACCAGTTATAAGGTAAGAAAATAATCTCATTGATCCATTCAAAGAGGCTTATTTTTCTCAGGGCAGCTGCATTTTCCAG